TATCACATTTATGTAACATTTTTTCTAGGGTATTTTTTGGAATTGAATTTTTACCTGTTTCATCGTTTGCAAACTATACTCTCATTCATAACGCAACGGAGCGGATGAAAAATTGAGTCCGGAAACCACACTTAACTGGAAAGCCAGTTACCTGTTGAATTTTTTCTGAGTTTTTTTTATTTAACTGAAACAACAGACATATGGATCAGATGTGAGAAAGAAGAAAGAAAAAGGAAACGCGCAACTTTTCGCAGTGCTAGGAGTTGACGTGCTTTGACGTCAAATCCATCGATTGTGTAGAAAGAGGGACGTGAATTTCGCATTAACTTGCGTGGAAATCCTTGAATTTAGTCCTAACGCCCAAACAGTTACTAGTAATTTTGCAACATATAAAGGATAATCTGTAGAACAAGGGCAAAGGTAAAGTTCATTACGCGTTTCAGAGGTGAGATAACCTCTGTTGAGACATACGCGTTTGAAGTTGAAATTTATGTAATTGTCGCTAGGTACCAATCCTCTACACGTCACGCGCAGCTAACACATAAAGATCGCTTGTTTGTCTTTTCCTAAGTATGTATCTCAATATTTGGTTAAGAGAATTGTGCATGAACTCAATGGTTTTTTGTGAAAATCAAATGTCTTCTGGTAGGCGCAAATATTTATGGTCTGACCTACGGGTAGTGTTTGTCCGCAACTAGGATACGCGCTGTAACGCGCCTCTAACGCCACTACTTGGAATGCTTCTTAATTTCTTGTCTTTTTTCCACGTTCCCTCAGCTTTTTGTCAATGAAGAAGGAGAAGCGGTTACTTCCCAAAATAGGCTTTTCAGCATTAAGCATGTGTTACTGCGACCAAAAAAAGCATCCTGGGTTGAGCTTAGTGGAATAAACTATCAAAAACAGCAGCAGAGTTGTATAGTTGTTTATGTAGTTTTGTCAAAATCTTCGGAACCTAGACCGAGATTATATTCACCGAGCCGCGTGTAAATATTTATGCAGTGGAAAGTGTAGATACAAATCAAACATGCTTTTTATTATTATTAATGTCTAACCAGTGTGAGGCAATCCTCATGACATCATAGAAACCAGCATGTTGAAGGAACTGCAAGAAAGTGGTTTATTTGTGTTTATTGGAATTACTACGAACACTTACTGCTTCAAAGTACTCCATTAGAGCATGTCTTGCTTGGAATGTTTGTGGTACAGAAGCCTTT